AGCGGACAAAGAGTGAATCATCTGCAAGTCTTCTGACCTCTGCCGTGTTTTGTTTAGTTAATGTGTACATATGGCGAAAGAATCATCTACAGGTCTGGAATTATATGACTGCATTTTGGAAGGAAAATGTTAGTGTTGCCAACTACCAAAAAACTAATAATAAAAATAATCTGAAAGGGTTTAGATTTTAACGATCGTTCAAAAGGCTCTTTCAAATCGGACATAAGTTTAGCTTTTCTTACTTACATTGTTAGTTTAAAGCAATAGTCATTTATACAACATACTATATTTGACTACTGCGGATTCAAACTCCCAAACAAACTGCGTAATCGACTACGAAACAAACTACGGTTTTGTTGCCAAAACCCTCGAATCAAAAGCCGTTTTTGTCTTCTTCTCTTTTTTTATTTTTTTTGTTCTCAGAAATCATAGCCATGGAGGTCGTGAACGTCATTCTGTAAAAACTAAATATTTAATTAGATATATGATTAAATTAAATACCCCTTTATTTCAATCAACACAATTTAAAAGTAAAAAAAAAGTAATATTCTTAAGAACTTTTGCTATCTGTTGCTTTTAAATAGCTTCGTTTGTTAACCCATAACAGACAAGTTCAAACTAAAAGATTAATATCTTACATTTTCCCGCGTGTTAATAGACTCAAGAAAAAGGAAATAACAGAAACTCTTGTCTGGACACTGATAGCCCTTTTGGGCTTAAAACTACTAAGTTTCATCTCACATTACAAGGTATATTTCAGTTAAACATTTGTAGTTCCTAAATATTTATAAAATTATTTTTATCTAGTAAACTATTGTCACAGCTAACAATTATAGGATTTATGAATAAAGTTCGCAGTAAAATACTTGAAGCTTTGTTGTGGAGATTGTATTTTAGAATATAGTAAAAAAAACTCAAAAGGACCGTCATTCCACGTTCTTGTTTCGTTTTTCTTAGCAATAACGTAAATAAAACTGTGAAATACTTCTTTCTTAAAGGGGAATTCTTCCTTATTAATGTCACCGTGATCCTAATTTAGTTGATAATCATAATTTGCATATAAAAATGGTATAACAGAAGATGTTGAAAGGACATGGTGATCTTTTTTTAAATAGTTTATCTAGTTTAGATACTCTCTTCTTTTCAACTTAATTCCGTATGACAATTTAGAATTTAATTATTTTTCACCTCCTTTGACGATCCACCTGACTAGCCCCTATGAAATAATGTTTCAGGCAAAAAAAATTGCGCCCTTTTAAGAATGTGCGCACTAGGCGGAATCCCTGTCCCGCCTACTGCATACTATTGCATACTTAATTAATCCAGATCAGTGGTCTCAAACTGAAATTGCATGCGGGTCTCATGCACGACATGACAGCAGCTGGCGAGCTAGACTATTTTAACAAAATTTCAAGCATAATCTTAAATAATTAACTAAATTTTTATTTAACTTCAAATTTCACTTAGTAGCAGCTGGCGAGCTAGAAATTTTTAACAAAATTTTAAACAACTAACTACATTTTAATTTAACTTTAAACTTCCCTTACTAACTGTTTATCAAAACACAGATAAACAAAAATTAGAAGAAAAAAATTCAAATTTATCGTACTTCCTATCTGTATCAAATTTCTGTTGGTTACATTTTGTAATTCAAATGTACTACCAGCTAAATAATAAATTTTTGTACTGAAATTTGTTTTAAATAATTCTAATATGTTGAATTAACCATTAAATAACTTACTTATAATACAACCGTGAAATAAACAAATTATGAAGTCTTTCCAAATTTTCAGAGAAAATTTCCCCAGTAGGAGAAAATAGAATAAATGATTACAACCTATTTTCTTTCTTAGTAATTTACGTAATTTTTCTTTTGTCTTGAAAAATAAGTATTTTTCTGACACCTTTTTTTTACGTTTTGTTAAAGACATAGCTTGCAAATTAATCTCTTAATTAAAATCCCAATTATAATTTTATTTACAACTTCAACAAGATAAATTTACCCTCAAACGTTTCGCACAATTTCATGTGATTGGTATTGATGTAACGTTGATCTAACGGCAAGCACAAATAACAGGTTTCACAAGCCATACATTAGTTTGTCACCAGCAATATGATTTGGGTAGCTGTACATCAAGGTTACCAGCAAGTGATTGAGTCAAGGAAAATAAATGTACTAACTCATTAGAGAAAAAAAACGGATACTACCAAAATATAAAAGTTCTACCAACTGCCGACTGGCTAATAAATTAATTAGTCCCACTTTAGTCCAGTCATGTGCCCTGGCATGCAAGCAGTCTAAGTCTATAATCATTTAATTTAACTGACACTGTAAATCTATTCAATCTCTTTTTTTCATTCAGTAGCAACAAACACGCATATAAACACAATCCACAATATTGCTTATATTTAAATTTTAAACTATCATTTTTTGAGATTCTGTGGTTAGGATTTTTTTACTTTCGTGTACGAAGTAAAGGAAGTATCGTATCGCGAAAAATTTAGGGTATCATATTTCGAAGAAAATATCCATCTTGACCGCTCTCGAATCCATTTGAACGATGTTTTTGTGTTACATCTATCCACAGCTACTATATATCTAATAACTTATGTATAAGGATATATAATAATAATAACTTATGTATGTTTATTTATTTATGTATATAGTATGTATGATTGTAGAACTGGCCTGTAACCAAGAGTAAAATGTCTAATTATTAATGTGGAATGTGTATGTACGTGCAACAACGTACGCATGTGCAAAACAAATATTATTGTAATAATTTGTTCCCAGTGTTTAAACCTATGTGCACATAAAATGCACCACGGTAATGTTTAATTATTAATGTGTGATATTTATGTAACAGCTGCAGTGTGTGCATCAGTATACAATTATTGTATTGTAAATTAAAATTATTGTAAAATGTTTAAATATCAGTTTAAAATGCTCAAATTTCAATATACAGCACCAACAAAAGTTTCTATTAAGCTCCAGACGCCTCCCTTCTGGGGCGCCAAAGAATTATCGCATTGTATAGTTGCAGATTCCGGAACGATACCCGAATAGTCCTAGTAAGCCGCCCGGATGTCTGGATTCCGCTCTCACCTGTCACCTGTACGTATGGACAGAATTACTGACTCTTTTCCGAAACAAATTGTAAAATAGATATAAAATGGATTAAAAACAAATATTTTCCAGGACGTCTGTAGATAGGTACGTGTATATATATCTCGTATAGCTTCAGAACGTTGAAATTTTATATATGGGACTGCCGTAACATGTAGATGTCCACCTCCCATTTTGGTTGCAATCGGCAGCACCAAACCAATTATATATATTCGAATTTTTCTTGTACTTATATGTTGGTAAATTGCGCATTTTTTGCTTTAAAAGTAATTGCATTATGTTATTCTTATGTTTCTCTTAAAGTTTTGAGACCTTTAGTTAATCTGTATGCAATTGTTATATAATTATCAACAATTTAAAAGTTTTTAAGTGTTACCGCTTGAGACTGCTGATCTGCAATCATAATGTTGGGCAGAACGTAGTCCAAATCTCACGTACCTGTATGTATGCAATCTAAAGACAAAATATCCGCTCAACTTCGTTTTGAATAGATAGTTATACACATAATACAGATATATTATTGATGGATATATAATTAAGAACATATCAAAAGCTAACTGCTTGTTGCTTAGAATAATTATCATAAAAAAGTATATAATGATTTTAATGAGTACAGCTTTTGTCATTTGATAAAAATACTGAATATTTCTAATTAGACATCTCATGATTTTAATACATATTTATTTAAGTCAATCCCATTATAAAGTAGAAAAAAAGTATTCCTAAGAACTGTGTTTATTGCTTTTAAATCTCTTAGTTTATTACTCGATAACCTTCCAGATTAAATTTGAAAGTATGTTAGATTTTACTGAACGGGAACACGCTGGTAAGTAGAAGATAAAAGTATATTATTTCTGACCGCAGCAATATATTTCTTTGAGTTTATTAATTAAAACTAAAAGTTAAATATCTTATATTTTTCCGAATGGCAGCAGTCTCGTGCCTGGTGTTTTCTTTCGAACAGTGTTGCCGCTCCTCGCTTCCAAATCATTGAGTCTATTAATCAAAAATTCATTAATATTTTATAAAATATGAAATAAAAAATAATAAAACAAATTCGAAATTCAAAATTGGGGCTCCCAGGTGCACACGTTCGGGCGGAAGATTACGTATGTTCCAAATGTTATGGCTCTAGGTACCGTCGTTTTTTCACAATTTGAGGAATATACTTACATATATGCATATTCTTCTTTATTTAATTGCTTTAAAAATAAGTCATGGAGACATAACAAGTGTGCCAGCGTATGGTCTAGTAAAGCCTATTATCTCTCAGTACTACATAATTGATCATCGATGAGTAATTTACAGTAGAACTGTTAATTGCCTTAGCAAAAAACGTTTCCTAGTCATTTTTGGGTTGCTAGCTTATCAGAGATTTTAAGTCCATACCTGATGAAAATGCGAGCATTAGTGATAATGCAAAGCACCTTATTTTCGAGAATTTGCAGTTTTATTCGTATCTACCAGGATAGGAGCCGCCCAAGCTGATGCCTGATATTCATTATGTATGAAGTTCTTAAAGGTCCAAATAAGATAATTAGCTAATGCAAGAAGTGTTGTTTAGAACGAATCTGGGAACTCGCTGAAATAACAGGACATTTTCAGAGAGTTAACTGAGCTTGCGCAATCAGCCGATTTTATAATAACAAAACTGAAACTATTTTTTTCCAATCAGCTGGGCGTCACCATGTTCAAGGGCGCCTGCAGATAAACGCGGTCAGTCAACTTTCACCTTAGGATTTCCTTTCTAGGTCAGCATACGAATTTCCACTAATTAAAAATGCGAGCGAGATGGGACCGAAGCATTTGGGTCGTGACAGATCCCGCTTGCGATGTGGGACAGTTCGGGGACGCGAGTTTTATTCCCAAGGCCGTCTTCTGCTCACCTACCCAACGAACGACCAGTGAATTTCCTGAAGCGCCGCTTTTCGTTTACTTTCGCAGTCGTGGAAAACATGCTGGATTCGCTGGAATTGCAAGCTTGTGTTCTTCCGCTTTCGTGCTGATTAGTTGAAGTAACTAGTAGGGTAAGTTGGGTTTGAAAAATGTTAAAACGATTTCTGGTTTTGTTAATGTAAATGATTCATCGTGTTTTAAAGTGGCATAGGTACAGATTTTGCTGCTCAGGATGGTCTCTGAATTTGTCGCCCCTATTTTGTATACGAACATGACATGTAGGGAAATAAATTAAAACTCTGCTTTTATTTCTGAAGAAAAACTTTGATTCCAACATTCCAAGATTACTATATTATTATTTTGTTTGTTTTTCTAGTTGCACAGCATCGGCGACACTGTTGAGGCCTACTTTAGTGGTCTCAAACTCTGATAGCCCGCAGGCGGCATGTACGATCTGAAAAGAGCTGACGGGCCAGAATTTCTTTTAATAACACCAAAAACAATTTTATTTACAAAATAAAATAATATTCTAAAATTTTAAATTTCACTTACTAAGTATTTTTTTAAAACATACATACATAATAATAATAATCTTGCAAGGGACAAAATTCAAACTTATATTTATTTTCTATCTGAAATCTGAATTTGTTACCTGGAAGACATTTTTATGGTTACAGTTTCTAATTCACATACGTTGACAACTATGTATTAAATTTTCAGATTTATGTTTATTTACAACAGTTCTAAAATGCTTAATTAATCCTTAAATAATTTACTTTAACAGAAATTGTAACAAATATTTCAGAAATAATTCCCAAAGTAGGAGAAAAATTAAGAATGAATAATGGCAATTTAGTCTCTTTCTCTTGTTTATTAAATTGTTCTTCGATGCATAAATAAAAATATACATGTATGCATGTAAATAGTTATAAACTTTTATTTTTTACTACAAGCTTAATCTTTGACGGCGTTTCGATTTTGATAAAATTTGTAGCCTTGGAGAAATGGTATTATAAATTATCTTCATCATCACAGATTTTAGATGCTCATCTTGTAGAGTCATTAGGAATTCTGTGGTAAGAAACACGACAAATGCTCAATGCCCTCTCCGCGACTCGAACCTGGACTTCCCGAATACGCGAGGAGTGTGCCAGCGTTGCACCACGAAAGCATGCAGAAATGAGGGAGAAAATACCTCATGTACTCCCCCTTTTAAAGGGCGACTGGGGATTAAGGGACCCAGTTGCCAAATCCTGATAGTGAAAATCACCATTTATCACCTTTTAGTTCGGGCGCTATTCTTAAGGTTCTTTTTTTATTTTATTTTTATTTTTATTTATTTTTTTTTTTTTTATTTTGAAGCAGGAGACTGAAAAATGAGCAATGCCCGCTTCGGGACTCGAACCTGGACCTCTCGAATACGCGCCGAATGTAATCCCGAACAAATAGATTATTTTTAGTGCGAAAATTCGCAACTGATTTAATTTTTCACAAGTATGGTTAAAATTAATTAAAAAATCTATCTCCAAATATAAATCACATATAAATAAGTAACTTCTATTTATAGATTTTTTGATGCGTAATTCACGCTTGTTTTTATTGGTAATTAAAATAATGTAAAGTCGGACTGCAAATAATTGAAATCTCGAAATCTTTGTAACAATGTATTTGCACCAAGTTCCAAAATGAAATGTCTTCGCGGGTCTCATAAATTTAATCTGGGGCTCTTCAGTTTGAGACCACTCGTCTATTGCATTTCTCCATTTGATATTATATAGAAACTTTACAAAGATTTCTGAAATGCAAAATATGCATTTGTAGGTTTTGAATACTTTTAAAATTACTTCTGTATAGATAGCGTTTCTCACAACTACCAGCACTCAACATTTGTGAGGAAAGTCTCCAGTTCAATATTTGAAACTTTGTTCTGGATATTGTATTTTAGAATAAACTCAAGAGGACCGCAGTCTTGCGTTTCCTGTTTCGTTCCCCTTAGCAGTTATGGAAATGAAAATCTGAAATATTCTTCTCTCTTTTTTTTTTTTTATCGGCGGATTCTTCTTTATTAATGTTACCGTGATCATGATTTAATTCGTATTCGTATTTTTCTTTCAAAAATTTCGACGGAATATAGACGCTTTTTATTCATAAAATTATGCTTGACGTTGCAGAGATCTACTTGATTTTGCATCTGCTGTTATAAGGTATTTCTCCTGCCTTCTTAGCATGCCTTCGTGTTGTAGTGGTCAGCACACTCGACGCGTATTCGAATGGTCCTTGGTTCGAGTCCTGGCGAAGTCATTGCTCATTTTTCATCTCTTCTGCTTCAAAATAATCTAATGTCTCTACAGTGGCGCCCGAACTAAAAAAAAAGGTAGTGAATGATGCTTCTTCACCACCAAGATTTGGTGATTGCACACTCGACGCGTATTCGAGAGGTCCGATGTTCGAGTTCCGGCGAGGGCATTGATCGTTTTTATCTCTTCTGCTTCGAAATAACCTAATATCTGTACACAGTATAGGAAGATCTCTTCAGTGCGAAATATACATTTGTAGGTCTAAAAAAAACTCTTGCAATAGTAACACTGGTAGCAGTTTTGAGGAAAGTTCGCAAATGTATTACAATATTTAGAGCTTGGTTCTGAAGATTGTACTGAATTTGTTCTGGAGACTGTACTACTGCCAAACTGAAAAACTTCAAAAAGGCCCTTCTAAGTTCCTGTTTCGGCTTTTCTAGCAATGGCGGACAAAAAAAATCAGTGAAATACTTTTTTGTTAAGGAGGAATTCTTCCTTATGAATATCATCATGATCATAATACAGCAATTTTCATTCAAAAGTTTTGGCTCAATAAAAAAGGTATAAAAAGAATATGTAGCTGTTGAAATCTCGTCATGATTTCTTTTAATTCTTTATATAGTGTAAAAAGTTTTGTCCCCTTCATTTAATTCCGTGTGGCAATTCAGAATCTCATTATTCTTCATCTGCCTCGACGATCCGCATTTCTAACACCTATAAAATAACTAATGGGATCTTACCATTAAAAAATTGCGTATTAATGGATACAATATGGCCAGCTGAATATGGCCAACAAAACAGTGATAGATTGGATCAATGACCAGCTGGAAATTTGTACTCATATTGTCCTAAACAGAGTTTCCAATAAAATCAGAAGATCTTACAAAATAATAGAAAGGAACAATTGGCTTTTTATGAAGAGCAAAAATGAAGCAGATCGAATACTGGTAGTCTATTAAATAAAGAGTCAGTTCCCTTCAGAATTCCGCAATATTCCGCATATTCCCAGCGGGCAGGCCGCTAGGGATTCGTATATGGATAAAGTTTTTTATACCTGTATATATTAATTTAATTAATAATAATTTTTTTGATATAATGCTACATCATGATTATCTTTCGCTTTCGTTCGAAAATTTACTTGTTTATTTTGATACTGAATCAAAAAGAACTCCAATACTTTGATAATTCATGCGACTGTCCTGTATTGAAAAGGATTGTATTTCCTAAGAAAACACGTTGTTATATAAGCAAACTACTTGCAGAATGTAAAAAGAGATTTTAATGTTCGCTTCCAAGACACTGAGTATTTGCATGTGCTGCCATAATTCATAGAATGTCCGAAATGCATTGTATCTGAATTTTATATTATGATGCCAGAACAGTTGATGACACTGAAACAGAATATTTGAGGACATGTCTTATTCAAATACATGATGGGTGCGGTAGGTTTTTTTCGAATTTAAAATTCGTCTGAGAGAAATATTTTGAAATAAAAGTTGTTACCGAGCCATCTTATTATTATCTTTAAGTTATTTGCGTGCAATTATTCGTATTATAATTATGTTGCATGCTCTATGGGTGTAGAGAAAAATGTAAGGGGGTGGGTGTAGAAAACATTTTTTTTTTTTTTAAAGGGTCGATGCAAGAAGAGGTTTGGGAATTTCTGACCTAACCTTTTAAGGTCAGCTAGAAACCACCCCCAATCTTGTTTATCATGCCTTTCAAGTGCAAGAATAAAATATTGCCACTTTTTCTCTCTAGATATATTTTGATAAGTATCTAGGATATCCTTTGTAACGGGTATTTTATGATTATGCATGTAGTGTTTATCTTGATTGTCTTCAGTGATGATTACAACTTTCGGGTAATGCACAGACCAGTTTGAGACAAGGCCACCGTGTTTTCGTTGGTCGTCGTCATATGCCGCTGTTAATCATCTTCAGGAACGCGCTTATTAAAGAGAGAGAAAGCGAAAAGGAAAATATTTAACCTCCAAACACAAATGCCGATACCGGATTTCCTGGAAAGTCTCAGAAATGAAAACTGATCAGTGAAATACAGTAAAACCGTGAATTTTTTTTTCAAAATGTCTGGAGAAATCTGGAACTTTGTAAACGTGTATCAAAATTGTCTAGGAAAGTATGGACCTTTTTTTCCAGTGGTCAGGGAAAGCAGTTAAATAGGTAAAGTTGAAAAAAAAAAAAAAAAAAAAAAAAAAAAAAAAAAAAAAAATAGAGAAAGTTTTCACATTTCATATTACCCCCAAAGCGGCGTTTTTTCAGTTACACACACACATACACATTTCGAGAGCATTTGTGCTAACTCCGCCTTTGGGCTAAACATATATATATATATATACATATATATATATAAAGCATATCTTTAGAACTTCCGATAGACAATCTCGCGTGGTGGAGATAAAAGTGTTTTATTGCGTACAATTTTGTCACTACTCGCTTTGAAATCGTTGAGTGTTATAATCAAAAATTCGTTAAAGTTTTACAAAATATGAAGTAGATAATAAAACAAATTCGAAATTCAAAATTCGGGCCTCCCGGTGCCCATGTTCGGGTGTAGGACTAGGTTATTCAAATTTTGCTCTAAGTACCGTTGTTTTTTCACAATGCGAGACACATATATACATTTATGCAGATTCTTCATTGTTTAATGTCTTTAACTATAATACATGGCGATAATATTTGATGTAAAAAAAATCTTAAAGCGCAACGTATAAAAAAGGACAGTTGTCTATAAAATAAAAAAAAGTTTCTTAAATCTCTTTTAGGGGGGAGGGGAGCAAAGTACGTGCTTTAATAATAATGCATAAACAAAAC